CTGAGCTTCTCTGGTACAATGGGGCCATGCAGACCCATGCAGCAGAGTCTATGTGAGGAATAAATGCGATCATGGGGCAAAAGCTGTAAAACCAAGTACCTGGGAGAGGGTTGAGACCCTGTGCCCCGGGCTGGGTGCATGCAGGAAGCATGACCGGAGGCCTGACTGCCCACAGCCCCCAGCCTCAGCCCCAGAGAGAAGGTAGAGGAGGGACTGGGCTGATGTATCGCCTCTTCCCTTGCCAGTTGCTGGGAGAGGAACAGGGGCAGCTCCAATGGGTTCCAGGTCCAGCCCCTGTGGCCCCGAAGGTCATGAGCAGCCTAGAAAAAGGAGGCAAAACTTATGGGGCCTCCCAGGTTCTTGACCTCCAGGCCCGAGACCGGTGCGATGTATGAGTCCAGCCTCACTCCACATGAATCAGGATTGCCTCCTAACTCATCTGGAAACCACCACGGCCACCGCCGCCACCCGGCACCTCGCACACACGAGCTATCTGGAATTCTTCACAGCCGCCCTATTTTTTACAAGTCAGGAAACAGCACAGAGATGGGAAGTAACTTGCCCAAGTTCTCAGAGCTCCCCAAGAAGCCGGGCCAGGATTCCACTGTAGGTCTTCCTGAATCCAAGGGCCAAATTCTTTCCAATATACCCAGGAGTTTGCATGCAGGTACTGACTTCCGGTAACAACCCGCAAGGTGAGCTTTGCCTCTACATCACGCTTCTCTGGGCCAGAAATGCCCTTGGCTATTCACGGGCAAAGTCCTACTGATCCTTCAAGAGGACACTCCAGCAAACAGTGTTGCTGCCGCTTCCACGGGCCACGGCCCGGTTTTCTCAGGGGACTATAATTGTTGAGCTGAGCCCATGGGAACAGGGATCAGGCTCCATGCCCAGCCCACCAGCCACACCCAGCAACCAGCCTGGCACAGTGTTCTCACTGGAGGTTTGCAGCCTCCAGGAAGCCCAGCCCCGACAGGGCCCCTCTGGAATGTGGATGACTCCCTGCAGGGCCTGGAGCTATCGTCCCTGTCCCTTAGCACCTTAACAAGCACTGTAGAGATCTGTCAGAACATCAGGCGAACTGAGAGGCTCACAAAGTTGTCACAAGGGAGTCCAGAGTCAGAGATCAGAGTAGGCCCATCAGTGTCCTCCTATTGAGACAGAGCAGGAACTGGACTCATGTCCCTTCAACCCTGACCGTGAAATCCAGAACTCCCTGGGGGCCTTCGTAAGGAAAGAAGAAAAAAGCTAAAACTCTGTGCCTCTTGAGGAGCCCAACTTGCAGGAATTCAGAGGGAAGGCGCTTACTGAAGGGAAGATGCTTACTACAAAGACTGGCCAAGACCGGACCAAACCAGTCTGCACCAAGATGGGCGGATCCCAGTGCTGAACTCTCACAGACTTGTCTTCTCATTATAATACTCAAAAATCAGGCCAAGGGGGTGGAGACTTAACATGCTAATTAGACATGGGACACAGGAAGAAGCATGACCTTTAAGTGCACAGGTGTGAATAAATCCTCCACTTCCTGCTTCCAAGGCACCCTTTCCCCACCTACATTTCTTTTACAAACCCTCCCTGACCTCTCCTCTGGGGAGTCAGAGAATTCTTTCCTTCTGCCGCCTCCCTTGTGCTTGAGCACAAAGCCCAGTAAAGCCTTGCCTGCAGCTCCTGGTTGGCCTCTTACTGATTTCTGTTGTTTAGAGGACCCAAGGGCCCAGTTCAGTACCGATATTCTGGAGCCTCAGTTTCACTCTGGATATGCACTTCCCCAGCAGCTAGCCATAGGTTTAAGGACAGCAGGGCTGGAGAAGCAGAGGCAAATTTGGCCCGCTTGTTCTAAGCAAATTTGGAACACGGAGAGGAGAGAATGGTCAGCTCTGGCACTGACCAGGAAGAATCACAGGCTTGACTAAAGGGCTCAGAGAAAAGGGGAGCCCTCGTACACTATTGGTGGGAATGCGAGCTGGTGTGGCCACTCTGGAAAACAGTATGGACATTCCTCAGAAAGTTGAAAATAGAGCTACCCTATGACCCAGCAATTGCACTACTGGGTATTTACCCCAAAGACACAAAGGTAGTGATCTGAAGGGGCTCCTGCACCCCGATGTTTATAGCAGCAATGTCCACAATAGCCAAACTATGAAAAGAGCCCAGATGTCCATCAACAGATGAATGGATAAAAAGATGTGGGATATGTATACAACAGAATATTATGCAGCCATCAAAAAAATGAAATCTTGCCATTTGCAACGACGTGGATGGGACTAGAGGGTATTATGCTAAACTAAATAAGTCAATTAGAGAAAGACAATTATCATATGATCTCACTGATATGAGGAATTTGAGAAACAAGATAGAGGATCATAGGGGAAGGGAGGGAAAAATGAAACAAGATGAAACTGGAGGGGGAGACAAACCATAAGAGACTCTTAATCTCAGGAAACAAACTGAGGGTTGCAGGAGGGGAGGTGGGTGTGGGAATGGGGTCACTGGGTGATGGGCATTAAGGAGGGCATGTGATATAATGAGCACTGGGTGTTATATGCAACTGATGAATCACTGACCTCTACCTCTGAAACTAATAATACATTATGTTAATTAATTGAATTTAAATAAAAATAAAGGACTCAGAGAAACACGGGCTGGACAGTAGACAGGCAGGCTCTCCATCCCAAGGAGGTCCACGCAGCTGCTCTAATAAGAAATGACATTTGTCAAGCTCTAAGAGGCAGGCAGCCACACACTCAAAAGAGTGGGGAGGTGGGAGCTGTATTCCTTGGGTGCAAATAGGAATAAGTTGTCTGTAGAAATTTTTAAAACAATAAGAACACACCTTGGGGCGCCTGGGTGTCTCAGTCGGGTAAGCGTCTGCCTTCAGCTCAGGTCATGATCTCAGGGTCCTGGGATGGAGCCCCACATCGGGCTCCCTGCTCAGTGGGAGTCTGCTTCTCCCTCTCCCACTCCCCCTGCTTGTGTTCCCTCTCTCGCTGTGTCTTTAAAAAAAAAAAACAAACAACTTTGTCTTCTACATGGAAGTTCGATCAGAGAACACCCAGTTCTATAGTCTGCGGACACACAGACTTAGCTAATGTTCCAACAGAAAGTTCCAAGTGGCTCAGAGGGGTTCGAGCTCACACTGGGCACGGTTCATGTGCCAACTCTCAAGGTCCTACATTTTCCTATGTGTCAACACAGAAGACAGAAGAGTCAGCTCTCCCTGTGCCAGAAGAAACTAAAAGAGAAGTGGATCCCTTTCACCGAGAACTAGACTCATTCTAAAGCAATGGATTAAATAAATATCAGTGCCCACTATCACTCAACCATTTTCTCTGATTTCTTCAGAAGAAGGAAAACTTGGGAGAATTTCACCAAATAAGATTAAAAACTTATGATTAATTTTCTGGTGATGATGTTTTAGTGAAAATGTTTCACATGTGGAGATATTTAAAAGGCACTAGATTGATTTTTTTTTAAGACACAGTATTGGAATTTCTGGAATTTATTCTGAAATGTAATTTTTATGAATCTCTGACAAACCTCTCCTAATGTTTAAGACTTTCCCTAGTTGTATATCTGTGGTTTCATGTAGAGGAGCTTTTGAAATTAAAATTAATAAAAAGTGCTCTTCAGTCAGCTGTGAACAAAGATGGATGGACAAATCGAGCTCAGCTGAATACGGAACATGAATATGCAAAGATCAATCTTGACAAAGTCACGGACAACTTTCCAGAAGTAAAAGTTCCAAAACAGAAACTGTCATGTTGCTATTATTCGTGACTGTGACCAACCTACATGCAAGAGTGAGCTTTCTTTCAAAACTACATTCATGCAATTAAAAACTTTTTAAAAAGATTTTATCTTTAAGCAATCTCTACAACATGGGGCTCAAACCCACAACCCTGAGATCAAGAGTCACAGGCTCCGCTCACTGAGCCAGTCAGGTGCCCCGAATTAAAAACTCCCAATCCATTACTTTTTCCTATTTTTCTCCATAATATTTACCTTCTTTTTTCTTTTTTTTTTACTTTTGCACTGGCATGTTTCCTATACAAACCTCAATAAAATAAAATTTTCACTGTTTCTTTTCTGGATATTATTACTATCCATTTCATGATTATTATTGAAAACAGTGTTGTCAGATAAAGGAGAGGGATATTTAAAATGACCACTTGAGGCATCATATACGCCAGGTCCACCCTGATGCCAGTCCCGGTGGCATAGTTCTGTGGATTGAAATAATAATAAGAGTGAATTGCAGTTGAGCACTTACTATGTGTGGGAAGCACTATTCTGAGCACGTCCTACGTATGAAGTCCTATAATCTTCATTCTGGGGAACCGAGTGGATTTCAGACAGGAAATGCTCAGAACAGCACCCTGCAGGCTTGTGCCCCAACCAAGTGCTGTGTAGGAACACAACCCCAGGTGGGTCTACATCAGCAGCCAGTGCCCTGAATCCTTCAGGGTTCTGCTAGGTTGAAAGGAAGCATTTGCTAAGCCCCTTTATGATTTCTGAACCACATCACAGACTAGAAAAAGTAAAAGTGAAAGCCTAGAAATCGCTGTCAGAGCTGGTCATGGGGTGAGTCAGCTGAAACCAAAAAAGCCCAGAGAAAAGGTCAGACCCAAGCAGGGGCTGGGGCAGCAGGTCCAGCCCCAGACATCTGGCCCCAGGAGCCAGTCCGGGATGTTCTGGTCTGACTGGGGGAAGCAGGACAGGGCCTTGGCGAAGCAAGCCGCCCCTTGCTGCCTCCCTCCTCCTGTAGGTCCTGCCAGCCCTGGCATTAATTTCAGACAGGTGCCCAGGCAAGAGTAAGTACTGAGACATCTGGACAGGAGCAGGCTAACCCACATCCAACACCTTAAGCCCACCCGCTGCAGGAGGTGTGGTCCCACATCCTCCAGGATCCTCACTCTCCAGTAATAACTCAGGCTCCAGGACAATGAGTCCCCACTAAAACACAGCCCCCACCCCGGCCCACGCCGCCCCACACTTACGATGGACGCGCGCATCTTTTTTCGTCCAGTGGACTTCTCAATTTCAGGCTGGAGTTCGGTGTATCTGCTGCGTAAAGCCCTGAGGCAGGGGGAGCAGGGATTCATTATGTCATTAATAGGGAACAGCGTTCCCCGATCCCCAGGGTACCGTGGCTTCTAGCAAGGAGACGGTGCGCGGTTCTCCTCTGACCCTTCCCAGGGCCACCAGCTCACTCTTCGAGGTCCTCGCTACCCCCTCCCTGCCCCTGAACTTGGCCGCGAACTGATGAATCCCTTGAAGGGTCAGGGAAGGCTCACCCGACACCTGAGAGGCGGCGGCGCAGCCGGGGAAGGACGATCAGTGTCGCCTGCTCCCGGTGGCGCTCCCCGCCCGCGGGTGCCAGCGGGCGCGGCTGCCGGCGGGCTGCCCCCTGACTTGTTTACGCCCGCCTCCCCCAACTTCTCCGTCTCCCACTTGGCCGTCCGGGACCTGGAGAGCCACCCCGAGCACCTCACCCTTCCTTAAGTTCGGGAAAGGACCGCTCCACCCACCTCTCGAACTTGGGAGGCAGCGCGCCGCCAAGGGACCGCGTTTAATGGCCGCAGAGGCTCCAGCCAGCCTAGGGTCACCCGGCTCCTCCCCGCGCGGCTGACTAATGAGAGCCTCGCAGAGCTCCCAGCCCCGCGACAGGGACAGCCTGCTCCCGCCTCTGGGTCAGAGGGCCAGGAGACCTCCCACTCACCGCCACTCCCCACGCCCTCCTCCACCTAGAGGCCCCCCGTGAACCCAGTTCCAGCGCCACCTCCTCCTCACCGATTCCACACGCGCGCTTGGGGCCGCCCAATATTGAAGACCATCTTGTATTAGACTCCATCTGTATACACACCACGCTGGACTGTAATCAACTGACTTACCGCCTCCCTCCGAGTGGGCTTATAGTTTAAAACTATATTAAAGTTGAAAGCCAGCTGAAGGCTTTCAGAGGACCAGCACAAAGAAAGCACTTTTAACTATTGGGTCTTAAGCCATCAGATATCCCCCAAACCGGGTCCACAGCACAAATTCCATGAATGAATGACCAGACACAGGCCCTTCCTGGCACCCGGCTCTGGCTGGACTGTGGCTCCCTAAGAGTGGAACCAGCTCCCCTTCATCTCTCTTCTCCCCACTCCCAGCCAGCCCTACGCCTTGCAGTCGGGATGCTTGGGCCACATCCTGGCCTGCTCACTTGCTGGCTATAGGGTCCAGGAAGTGGACCTTCACTCTCTGAGCCTCAGTCTATTCATCTCTTAAAAGGAGTGATGATAATACTGGACAACATATAAGATCACATGTAAAAACACATTCCCCAAAGGGAGAGCCACAAATGAAATGATGCTTATAAAGTACTGTGCCTGATGTGTGGCACGTGGTGAATCCTCATCAGGACATGTTGGCTGTTAACACAAGGAAAAGCACGTGCTCATCACATCACCCGTCATTCACCAGCTTCCCAACGGGAGAGTCAGAGGCAACACAAATACATACCAGAGCTTTATGGGCATTGCTACTCACCCAACAAATTGTTTTTCGTATTAAGCAAGTGACTAGTAAAGCAGCCCAAACCCAAGGTGGAGGGGTTGGGGTTTGAGGACACCAGACTGACTTCTGCTTCTCCTTACTCTCTGCTTTCAGAACTGCCCAGATGTCGATTCCCTTATTTATTTCCCCCTGTGCTGTGCCTGGGAAAACAAAACAGAAAGCATCCTGAGGGATGAGGATGCCAGGAAAGTGATTTTCGCCTTCCACACAGCGCTCAAGAGGAGCTCGGTAAGACAGACCCAGGCCAAGAAGCTATACCACACGATGTTGGTACCGCCACCAGCAAGACTGTCCCTAGGTGCCCCCCCCTCCCCTCCAAGTCTGCCACCGCTGTTCCAGTGGGAGGCCATACCAGGATCAAACCAAGAACTGACTCCAAAGCCTCTGGTCTTTTCTGCAACCACAGTCACGGAGCCCTGTTCTTCTTGTGGTGGGAGAGGGGTAATAGTCATTATTTTCAATGTCTCCATTTTCTGCCTTCTAAGGAGGACGATTCTCCAGGAGAATCCAGTGTTTTGCAGTCTCTGAGAAAGTAGGAGAAAATGGCTCAGGCTTATGCTGAAGCATGAGACCTTGTGGGGATTCTGAGTGGGTGGGGTAGGAGGGCAGCAAGGCCAGGGGGAGAGAAGGAAAGGGGGAAAGGGAGAGGGGGGAAGGAGAGAGAGGGCAGGCAAGCCACATTTAAAGGAGCAGAATCCATTAGGAGCATTTTGTGTGAACATGAGGGTTTCTGTTGCTTGACATTAACTCTCAAAACCTGAACACTCTTCTGGGGAAAACTCCATCAGTGTCAAAACTGAATACAAGCTTGTTTTTGTTTTGTTTTGTTTTGTTTTTTAAGTAGACTCTGTGCCCAATGTGGGGCTTGAACTCAAGACCCTGAGATCAAGAGTCACTGCTGACTGAGCCAGTCAGGCACCCCTGAATACAGGCTTTTTAACGTTTATCCAGGCTACTCTGGTGCGGCTTTGGGAATATGCCAATTCTGACCGTTTGGCCAGAAAAATCAGGTTTTTATGAAAGAAAAGGAAGGTGAAGTGTAACTTCCTCCTGAATCCCATTTCTGAAACCCCTCAAGTCATAAAGAGAACAAATCCCTATTGAGAGGCTCTGAAGAGCTTCCCCTGCATAAATGTGCAGCATAACCACCATACTTCTCTTTGAAAGAACATTCCTGAAATGGTCCAGGTTTCTCATTCCCCTATGTCTGTTAAATGGAGCAACAGTCCGGGGCACTGGGAACTGTGGTGGACATTTGTTTTTGTTTGTCCAGCAGTCTTTCACTTGGTGACTATGTGGTTCTAGTGGACCTGCCTAATCACAGTACCACATTACCCTGACTAGAGACACATGTGACCTTGGTCCAGCTATCAGGCCCCAGCCCCCAGGCTATTGCAATTGACCCTGAAGGAACATATGACCCAAGCCAGACCAATCAGAAGCCTTCTCTATATACACACACATTTCTAAGTAGGCAGTGGGTTAAAAAAAAAAAAAAAAAGTCTTTTTCCCCTGGAGACATTAAAGTGGTATGATGTAAGCCTGGAACCGTCTGTGCCTTACCTCCCCGGCAGCATGGAAGAAATCCATCTGCAAAAGCAGATAATACACCTGCCACGTACTTGAGATAATAGCCCTGCTGACATTTGAGTTCTTCCAGTGCCTGATGTCAGTTTTGCTCCTAGACATCCAGTTATCATCATCTTTTCTTTGATTCAGCTAGAGTTGAACTCATCTTTGCAAACTGATATATGGTAATCAAAGGCAAGAATGTCAACGCACCAAAGACAAACCATAGTTTGCTTGACTTCTCCCCATCCACACACGCCCTTTCCCCTCCCGTTTTTCTCCCCAGCTTATGCTATTGGGGGTATCACCACTCTGATGGTAGTCCCGAGTTTTCACCATACTCTTCCTATCAGTCTGTGAGTTTGCACCTTCCCTAACTATACTGATGAGCACAAGTGCAACAGCTAGCCTGGCACCGAACATATGATCACCATCAGGGAGAGAGAGGGAAGACAGGGAGGGAGGGATGGATGGCAACTGACCACACCAAGTATATGTTTCAAACTATAAACATACTAGAAATCTTACTGCAGGGCCAAATGGGCTACGTCTAGCAATTAGCCAGTATTTGGGAAGTTGAATGCAACCTCTCCACTGGCTCCAAGGTCACCAGTTGAAAGGGAAAGCTTTCGATAGAGCTTCACTCACTCCCAAAGAGGAACCATTTAACCAGATGGGGCAACCAAATGAAAGCGCTACAAGTTCAAGGGTCCTCACAAGTCCACGTTACTGTAAATAAAACTTGTGTTTGATTTTAAGTCCAAGTCCATGGCCTTCTCCAGCACTATGCTAGCAAGACTGTTTGGTATGGTTTTGCAGGACAGAGAAAGGTGATGCACCCGAACCGCATTACCATTACCTCCTTTGACATGGGGTTAATCCCTCCCCTTAGATATCCTATTCACTTTGCCAAGCCCAAATCTATTTCACAGACCTTCCCATATTAAAGAACGGAGAAAGAAACAAAACACTGACAATGGTGCTATGATCTTTATTCAATTAAATGACCTTACAATTAAGAAACAGAAAACGTGCTTTTAATAAACTAATAGCATAATCTCATCCCATTGCACTTTTTAAAAAGTGTATTAAATTTTAAAGCCGTTCAAAGGCAAGGGTCTAGGAGAAAGTATTTTCAACAAATCATTTTTTAAAGAAAAGAAAAAGAAAACTTGTACATGCTCAGGATTAATACGAACCCCTTTAAGGCTTAAGTCCATGGTAGCATTTAGCCATCTAAATTAGAAAGCTTCAGCAATCAAATGTAATCTTTCCTTGGTCAGAAGAGCACTACATTTAAATTTTAGTTCTGGCACATGAAAACTCCTTCCAAGGAAGAACATTTTCTTTTGAAATCTTTCTGCTCCTAGATCTGTTTTGAAAAGTTCCTGTCATAGGGGTACTTCTGTAACTAATTTTCAAAATTATCTTCTCCTTCCTTTTTATTATTTTTATTTATGGCTTAAGGTTTTCTGTGCACGAAAGATGAGGGGTTCAAGTCACAGTGCTGAATTTTGCTTTTTTTTTTTTTTAAAGAAAAACTACTTTCAAAAAGTGGTTTTTTTTTTTAATCCTAATTACACCTGTTAGTAAACAGGACACTTGTACATTCACTTTTCAGAGAAGGCACTATGATACCTTAATTTAGAAAAACAGCTTTAACGTAGATGAAAGACATCGCCCTTATTACTCAGAACACGGTGAACCCTCAGTCATAGTCCTGGAAGCAGAGCACCTATTCTGAGCGCAGGTAGAAGCTGTCCATCCCCTCGGCTCCAAACAATACTGATTGCACCTTCCCAACCCACGGAGCATCTCTCTCACTGGTCTCTGAGCCACCTGCAGTACTATCGAAGGGGTGATTCCAGGGCCACAACCCAGACCCACTGAGGCAATCCCTAACATAAAGCTAGGAATCAGAATGGTTTTAAACAAGCCTCCCAAGTACGTCTTGGGCACTCTAACATAGATGACAGCGACTACCCAAAACATAACTACAACAGGACATAAGGAAAACTATCCTATCGCAGCAAATGGTCATTGTCATTTTAAAAAATCACAAATAGTTTGTACTTTCATGACTGAAGCTTGTCTTCATTATGCCCTATTCCTTGACTAAAATTTTGTCAGGTCTAAATGTAAGCCAGAAAGATGTAGCCCACACTGGCTACCTTGGATGGTAGCCATCCTAAAATCATCCTAAATTACATTTCAATAGTTCTATGAGGGGGGAAAAAGGCCTATGAAGACTTCCCATATAAATTATTTTTAAAAAGAAAAAAAACTCTAGGGAAAAATAAAACTATTTAGTTTTGTTTTTTTATCACTTTTGCCTGGGCTTAGGTCAACCTACTTATCTGTAACTCATCCATAATACATAAATACCCATCCAAACTCACCCTACCCAAGACACTACTTTTATAAGGTAGGTAAAACACTGGCTATGACCTGCTAAGGGAACACCCTGCCAGTAACAAGGCAGTTTGTTTATGTGTCTAAAGCCTTTCACTTCATGTTAAGAGAAAAAAGAAAGAGCAGATAAAGCAAAACAATATTCATAGGCAATTCTACCAAGTACAAAGAAGGTGTTAACACATAAACCTCCACGGAACAGACTTCTTGGTATATTGCTAAAATAGGGCATGGCTCTGAAGATGTTGATCATCATACATGATCATTCACCCCCATTGTATCTACAAACCAATCTAGAAAGAATTGAAATTTTGATTCTATTATTTTTACTATAAAAAGCTAATTGGATTTTTAAATTTTTTTTTTCTGAAATGAATACTTTTCATAGAAATTCTGAAAACCTCCTTTTCCACGTTACTAGGACTACGCCCCATATAACCGTTAGAAATGTGCAAACCATAAATGTTTGTGTGAAAAGGCTGGTCAGGAGTTGCGGAGCTACACACACCACACAAACACTTGCAGTGTGAACACCTAAGCAATGTCTCTGACCCACAGACTAAAGGCTGAGGGAAGTTAAGACGTACAAGACATTCTTTTCAACCTGGTTATAAATCTCCCCGGATTATTTAAAGCCAGCAGTGAGGATGCACCTTTTATTGAAAAAGATGATATAAAACCACCAATTTACTGTAAAAATAGAGAAAAGAAACCAAAGAAAACTCATTAAGGATCTTCACTGAGAAAACTTTATCAATACTTCCCAGAGCCAGAATAAATTAACTAATAAAGACAAAAATAATAAGGCTTCCCCAGGGAATTAAACCAAATTATTTAAGATCAAAACAGAAATGGTGAATCTGAACAGTAACTAAATCTTAAGATTTCACTTCGTCATACATTATCACATACTGTTTTACTTTAAAAATTCTAATACTTCAGTATTAAAATAAGTTTTAGACACATCATCCTTTTCTCACCATTAAAAGCATCACTCTAGACAATTATTCTGAAATCTATAAATGTGCCTCTACAGTGCATTAAAAGCCAAGAATCTCAACACCTGCAAGGCCTTTAGCGAACAAGTATGAACCTTCAGGAAGATGAGAGGCTACCTGAAAATGCACCAAAATTTCAAAGAGAAGCTTTCAATTTAACAGTCAACACTAAGCAGCACTGATAGGCAAATAAACAGTTTTTAGAACAAGCTGGAATTTTCCTAAAATTTAATGGCAATTGAATAAACTAGCAAGAACTTAGGGGCAAGATGGTATGTAGACAGGAAAAAAATATAAAATGCTTGGAATTAATTCAGACTCATAAAAATACTTCAGTGGTGAAGTGTTAATGTAGTAAAAAGAAAATTCTTTAATAAAGAGATTACATGCTTCTTTCTTCTGCCTTCCGTTCAGACTTCTTCACGTATATAGAATCTACACTTGGGTTTCGCCTAAGCCTTCCTATCTCCCTCCCACAACAAAAACTATCTTAATTAAGGCTCTCATACCTGAATGTTTTTATAAATACTTAAAGGCAAGTTTTATGAAGTTTAAAAATCCACAATAATTCACCATTATATTATAAATCAAAGGAAAAGGCAACTCATAGAGAAATTTTTACCACCCAATCAAGGTAAATAAAAAAGATTTCTTAGATACTTCTAGATACTGTCCATATTTGGGTGGGACTCCGGTCCTCACTAAGCCAAAGCTATTTTAAAGCTACCAGACTAGTCAAGTGAGGTTAAAGAAAGGAAGATTCGCTAAACAAAACTGACAATTTTAGCTTTATTATTAAAAATACTAGACAGTGCCTAGGAAAACGCAAGTAAATGTTTTGGATAAAGACCTGATTTACTGCTAGGCCACATGAAACAGGACAACTAAAGGCAGTAGTGTTTGGTAATGTCTTTCCTCTAATCCTTAATAAAGTTCTGTTCTTCAGTAGAACTCTTGAAAACAAGACCTCTAAATGACAACCGTGAGTTATATATAATACAGATGTGTATATAAACCTGCAAACAGTGAATCTGAGCAAGGCACAAGTTCAAGTGACTTATCAGAGGTCACATGGTTCATTTAAACTCAAGCTTTTTTGTTTAAAATATCGAGCTCACTCCTTTCATTATGAGCCACTCTGGCTCTTCAAGGCATGTTTGCCTCTTTTCTAAAAAGAAGCTAGAGGAATGAAGGCAAAAATAAAGTAAGAGTATGCTCCAACAAAACTGTCAGCCTGTCAGTAAAAGACCATAAATTTCAGTGTATGGTGGATTTAAACAGGATATGGATTTTCCACACTATGTGGCAAGCAGGATTCTTTAACATTATAAGATTTTAAAAGTGTAATGGCATCCTTTTCAGTCTTTTGTTCTGAAGCTTTTGCAAGTTTTGTAAACATTTTAAAATAGTAAGGTATAGAAGAACAGATAGGTTTCACCACAAAACAGCATCTTTCATGAGGTTATTCTTGATTCCCTCCCTATCATGTCCTCAAAAGCCTGGATTCAATCTTAAAAGGCACTAAGTGGCACATACAGGATTTAAAACCACATCTGCAGTTTTTCCTTTAGCTTTCTCCCCCATAAAGTGCACAAAGCAGAGAGTAATAAGAAAATAGACGCAGGCGTGATCTATATCAGCAAGGAAAAAAACGCTTCCAACAGAAATGGAAGTATGTTTAAGAATCTGAAGCCATGGGAAAGGTCTGTCTATGAATTTATTACTGCTGAGTTTCAGCTCTTCCCCGGTGATCCCAAATCTGCGTTCCTCTGGACCTGGACCTGTGGCCGTGGCAGAAACCCAGAAATCAGGAGGGGCTGGTCGCGTTCTCGTTGGCTCCTCTCGTCAAGATGCTATTGAGCTTTTTTATCCACAAGTGGCCTCCCAATTGCATCCCTCACAGCGGACTGAGTGGAATTACCCATATGAGAAGTAGCCTGCAAGAGTCCATTTATTCAACACGTAAGTTAATAAAATACAACACAGCATCGAGAGAGACTTCAGAGATAAACTTTCAGAAATCTGTCTACATCACGGGTAGGTTACCAGAAAATCGGGAAATGAAAATGCAGGTGTCAGGGGAACCTGTAGCGGCAGCTGGCTCCCCAGAGTCAGCGAAGCCTCTGCTCCGTTATCGTGGTGGGCTGGGAAGCCACCGTGGCTCCTCACAAGCTTCTGACTCAACCGATCTGCTCCTGGTACTCGGAAAAAGAAATCCGAGTCTCAAGGATCTGTACACCTGGAGATCACGTCAATGTCAAAAGCCACTGGCTTTTTTAAAGATTTTAAGCGAAAGAGATGCCATCCATTAGAACTCAAAATAGAAAAATTTCAAAGCTGCTGATTTTCAGTGAAGCAAATTAACCTTGGATGGGGGAGAATCACACAGGAATTGCGTCTAAAGAGCATGTGGTTAGAAGCTATGAGTAACACAGTGCATTTTCTCGCATTAGAGGGCAGTTTTTAGGCATGGAAACAAAATATTAGGAATAAATATTAACATCCTAAAGAAGGATGATACAACGTAATGCCTATCAAAAAACAAAAAATGGTCAGGGGAAGTTTCTCATGCCTTCTTTCACTGTGAAACTCTTCCAAATGGAAATACTTTACAATAAAAGCACAAACATCTGTCCGTTATCAACCCGTAGCCTCGTCAGCTGGCACCACTCACCTGCTCTAGTACATATGCTGCACCAGAATCAATTGCTCCGCCCAGCTCACGGTATTGACCAGAATACCTGATGTATCCCCAAGTAAGAAGTGCTATTAACAGCAGTCCAACCATACAGTTGAACAACTGGGCCACAATCTCAAGACCAACAAAGCCAGTGAGGCCTGAGGCTATGTACAAAATCACGATGCCCGTGAAAAGCACCGCAGGGGTTCGGAAGGTGCTAAAGACATTCTTGCTGCCGTTGTGTTTGCAGAAGTTCTCATAGAGCAACCTGATCTCCTCCTCCAGCTCCTGCTGGTAACGAAGGCTAAAATCCTTCCCACCCATCTTCTTGGTCTTCCTAAAATGGTCCAGAGCAAGCTGCTTGAATTCACAGTGCTTCTCCTCCAGAATGTCTGGAGACAAATAAGGTTTCTCTCCCCCACAAACCTAAAAAGAATAAAGACATAACGTGTTGAAGATCGCTTTGAAAACAAGTGCCCAATAAAACAAGTGAAAACACTGAAAAAGTCAGAACATTTTAAGATATTAGAAATTAACTTGACCAAGACCAGTAAAAGTCTGGGTTCACTTCCTCTGAAAAGCACACTGAAATAAGCAAGGTGACATTAACTGCACCAAAAGAAAGTCTTGCTTAGCAATGGAAAGAACTAGAAGACCCCAATTACCAGGGGGACCTGAACACAGCTTTGTTGTCTCATCATCTTCAGATACATTAAACAGGATCAGTTTGGGCTCCTGAAGTCAGCAACAGGGCCAGGTGATAGATACATCAGAATAAGACACGTGCCCAACATACCTCTTCCATGTTATTGTAATAAATGTCTTTGGCGGAGGCTGCAGCTGCTAAATTGTTGGCTTCAGCGGTGGCCTTTTAAGAAAGGAAAGCATGAGCTCTGAATCCCCTCTTTTAACATTCTTCCACAAATAACCAAGTGCCAACGTCCTCTCACCCTGTCCCCATTCTTCCTTTTTTAGGATCCTTCTGCCATTTTTTGTTTCCATACAGCCCAATTTATAAAATAAAATACTACTTTTCTACCAAATTTTCTGCCAAAAAACATTCTTATACATAAGGAGTCTTTATCATCAATTAAACCTCTGGAAATATCACTCCCTTTGCTTCCATTTTAAGTGTTAAGAAATAGGGGCGCCTGGGTGACTCAGATGGTTAAATGTCTGCCTTCGGCTCAGGTCATGATCCCAGGGTCCTGGGATCAAGCCCCATATCAGGCTCCTGACTCAGCAGGGAGCCTGCCTGCTTCTCCCTCTTGCTCTGCCTCTCCTGCAGCTCATGCTCTCTCTCTCTCTCTCTGTATCTCTGTGTCTCAAATGAATAAATAAAATCTTTGGGGCACCTGCGTGGCTCAGTCGTTAAAGCATCTGCCTTCGGCTCAGTCATGATCCCAGGGTCCTGGGATCGAGTCCCGCATCCGGGCTCCCTGCTCAGCGGGAGGCCTGCTTCTCCCTCTCCCACTCCCCCTGCTTCTGTTCCTTCTCTCACTGTCTCCCTCTCTGTCAAATAAATACATAAAATCTTAAAAAATAAATAAATAGATAAAATAAATAAAATCTTAAAAAAATAAGTGTCAAGAAATAGACGTGGGTCAAAAAAGGGAAAAAATTTATCTTTACATGAATTCCAAATTCTAGCTTCCTTTGTAAAAATGTTTTGCTACTAAAGAAGTAAACATCTGGCAGTAAACGGCTTTATGTTCTGCCCATGAAAGTCAGAAATTATGTGTTAACAAAATGACATCTTGAAAATAGCAAAATGTTGAAAATAAAAGTCCCCCAAAATAAAAAACCTGACCAGTAAGTAGTAAATAGGTATGTCGGGACGTGTTCTACTAAAGTAGACAACAGAAAACAGGACAATAATTTGTCTAAGATAACTGCGCTTGTTCTACCTGGGTGTAATAAAACAGTGCTCTCCACAGTGCATTTGGTGGGAAGACCAGGCCCAGTAAGGGGCCGTTCTGCTTTAACTGTACCCCCATGAATACGCACAAAAAAACCCAGGGCGCAGGGGTGCCTAGGTGGCTCAGTAAATTAAGCATCTGCCTTCAGCTCAGTCATGATCCCAAAGTCCTGGGATTGAGCCCATGTCAGGCTCTCTGCTCAGCGGGGAGCCTGCTTCTCCCTCTTCCTCTGCCCCTCCTCCTGCTTGTGCTCCCTCCCTCTCTCTGTCAAATAAATAAACAAAATCTTAAAAAAAAAAAAAAAAAAAAACCAACCCAGAGGGCAGTCACAATGCTGAAGAATGTGCTAAAAATTCACATACTTTAGCATAACAGGCAAGGAGAGCAAAAGCATTCTCTCCTTTTTTTTTTTTTAAGTCTTATTTATTTTAGAGAGAGACAGCATGTGCACAAGTGGGGGAAGGGCCAGAGGGAGAGGGAGAGGGAGAGAGAGAGAATTTTCAAGCAGACTACCCCACTGAGCACAGAGCCCTACCTGGGGCTCCGTCCCAGGACCCTGAGATCATGACCTGAACTGAAATCAAGCGTCAGATGCCTAACCACCTGAGCCACCCAGGCGCCCCACATTCTCTTCTTAAAGGACGCTGCTTCTTGTGTACGAGTCAACAAGGAATCCAACAGTATCATTTCGGATGTCAAAGAACTGCTTACCTGAAGCATGGATTTGGGATGAGGCAGATCTTCTCCTTGGTAAATTTTAATATATGCCTTAGAATATAAACATAAAATCAATTGTGAAAAATGTGATTCTGTCACATTTAATCATACTTTTAATTTTTAGAAAATGACCATACAACTGCATTTTCCTAAAGACCTAGATCAACACCCAGGAATTAGCAAAAACACAACACACCTTTGAGTGAATGTTAGCATTTTTAGTTAACTAAAACTGTTCTCAAGCAGCACGAGCCTAGCAAGGCTAGGAGTCCCACCAGATTCCCCATGCACACTGGCCTCACCACTACCTGTGGGCACAGTGACCGTCCGCCTTGAAGTAGCCATGTCACATCTAGATGCCGTCTCCTCCTACTCACGGCAACTTCCTAACCACCTCCTGTCCACACCATCTTCCTTGAGGAACAATCTTCCTTTAGCCACAGTAATTACTCCTCTAAGAAAGTGCAAAGAACATCCATTTGGTTCTTAGACCGATACTGCCACCCAGTGGCCCACTCCTGGAAGGACACTGGAGGCTCTGAAAATGCCTCTCACCATCTCCCCCATGAAACTTGCCCCTAAGCTTTAAAATAGTAAAATTCAAGTTAGTTTACAACCTAGATCAGTTTTACCAAAAGTCAAATATTTTGATAATTAAAACCCATATTTACCTTAAAATACTCCAGTAGCCCCCGACAGGTGACTTTTGAGCCATTGATCTCCTTTTCCATTAAATTAGCTGGGTTTAACACAAATGGAATCAGGGTCTGTAACTGCTCTTTGAATTCACCGGCAATATCTGTTCACAAGACCATGAAGAAAACAGTAAGCCAAACGGGTTTATTCAACCAAGCTGAGCATAAAATGCAATCTTCAGTCTATCCAACTGTTTTAACATTTGCTAGTTGAAAGTGAGGGGAAGGAGGGATGCCTGGGTGTTTCAGTCAGTTAAGTGTCTGCCTTCAGCTCAGGTCATGATCCCAGGGTCCTGGGATCGAGCCCCACATTGGGCTCCCTGCTCAACGGGGAGTCTGCTTCTCTCTCTGCCCTTCTCCCTGCTCATGCTTGATCTCTCTCTCTCTCTCATAAATAAATAAAATCTTAAAAAAAAGAAAAGTTGGGACTCCCTCCCAACTGTGTCTGACACTTTCTGCCCATGACCAGGTTGCTGATGGACCTCTGTCTGCATGTACCTTTACTGTCTCCTTCCTTCCGGGGATTAAGGGCTGCCTAGTCTAAAACAGAATATGCAGAATATTCTTCCCCTGGTTTTCATTCTGGGGGATTTAGTCTACTCCCTAGCCTTTCAAGAAATCTCACTTCTTAAAGAATTTTCAAAAAAATCAATTATCAACCCCTCTAGTCCTCTCTTCCTTACCATACCTTCACACTCCCCCTTGGATCCATTAGAAATCACTACTCATTATCCACTTGCTTTTCTGTTGTTCAATTTTTAATGTTAAAATATGTAGAAGCACCTGTACCTCATGGTATTTTCTATTATCTCCTCAGGACCCTCTGGGCCATCCCAAAAGGAAAAGGCTACTATCTCAGGAAAGATGACAGTTCTTCACAGCTTCTACAAAATTCCCATTGAGGGTGCAGGAGAGCCATTAATTAAGAGCTCTTTCCTCAAAGTGAGAACTAGCTGGTCCAACTCTGAAGACACAAGGAAATTAAAATACAAGGAATCTTCTGGGGTTCCCAACTAATTCACACATCAGCTGAAAAGAAAGTGGGTAGGAACCCACATCAAGGTAGGAACTCTTCAACACTCCATAACTCTAATGTATAAAACTGAGACATTCTGATTTCAAATTTTATTCATTCAACAGTTTTTGAGAACCCTTTTGTAGCAGACATTGTTGTAAGAGTTGGGAGCAGAGCCGCAAATAAAACAAAAGCAGCTTCTAAATTTTTCCAATTACAAATTAAGAATTTCTGTAGAAAAATCTTCAGGTTACTTTTATTTCCTTAGAGTCTTTCCTTGGAATATATGGTCCTCTAAAAGCAATTACTAGATAATATAATGACAATGTACACACTCCTGGAAGACATTCAAAACGAATTTTAAAAAAATCCATAAAGCCAGATAATGATGATTAACATTTAAAGTATTCCCTTCTGGGGTGCCTGGGTGGCTCAGTCAGTTAAGCGTCTGCCTTCAGCTCAGGTCATGGTCCCAGGGTCCTGGGGTTGAGCCCCTCGTCGGGCTCCCTGCTCAGCAGGGAGTCTGCTACTACTCCCTCCCCCTCTGCCTGCTGTTCTCCCCACTTGTGCTCACTCTCTCTGTCAAATGAATAAATTTTTAAAATCTTTAAAAAAAATAAAGTATTCCCTTCCTTTTCAAGGCTCCTATATATTGCTAAGTTGTTTTTGTGAAAGATTACCAATTTCTACCTCTCCCACCAATGTATAAGAAAGCTGTTTACAACTCTCAACACACTAGAGATTTTTTTTTAAGATTTTATTTTTAAGGGATGCCTGGGTGGCTCAGTCGGTTAAGCATCTGCCTTCAGCTCAGGTCATGATCCCAGAGTCCTGGGGTCAAGTCCCACATCAGGCTCCCTGCTCAGTGGGGAGTCTGCTTCTCCCTCTGCCTCTGCCTCTCTCTCTCATGAATAAATAAATAAAATCTTAAAAAAAAAAAGATTTTATTTTTAAGCAATCTCTACTTTGAGGCTCAAACTGAGCAGGGAGCCCGATGCGGAACTCGATCCCAGGACCCTGGATCATGACCTGAGCCGAAGGCAGATGCTTAACCGACTGAGCCACCCAGGCACCCCAATGAAAAGCGTTTTTAAAAAATGTATGAGAAATTATAAATATTGGGAAGACAGAGTATTCAATAAATGATGTCAAAGTATTGGTATCTATAGAAAAATAGAAAATGGATCTCTACTTCATACATACATAAAAATTAATTCCCAGTGGATTAAACACAAATATGAAAGACAATACTTGAGAGAGAGAAAGAGAGCAAGGGAGAGTGTGTGCACGTGTGTGTGTGGAGAAAGGAAAGGATTTTCTAAAACAAGACTTAAAAAAGCACTACATAAGATCAAAGGTGAATGAATTCAATCACATTTAAGCTAAGACACCATAAAAAAAGACAAGACAGAAGATGGGAGAAGATATCTGCAACATATAACTAACAAAGGTTCATATCTTAAAATACACATATAGGATCTATACATTGCAGAGAAAGACAAACCCAATCTAAAACTGAACAGGCGTGAATAGGAATTGCAGAGGAAAGGAAGCATGGATGTAAATAAATATATCAAAAGATATTCAATCCCATTAAGTAACCAGAGAAATGCAATTTAAGGCCACAATGACATACTGTTTTTTATCACTAATTTGGTAAAAACCAGATGTCTGATAACTCTAAGCATTGCCTATGATATGGATCAACAGGAATTTCTATATACACTGATGAAGGGAGTATAATTTGGAACAACCACTTTGGAAAACAATCTGGCATTATCCAGTAAGGTAAAAATATACAAATTCTAATATCCAGGAATTCTGCTTTTAAAGCACATATCTTTGGGAGACTCCCATATATCCACATATACTAGAATGTCTGCAGCACTGTTCATAGCAAGAAACTGGAAAAGCTCACATTTCCATCGAGAATAAACTGTGTTATATTCGCAGAAGGCACAATTATACTACAGTAAAAGTGAATGAACTAGGGGCGCCTGGGTAGCTCAAATGGTTGGGCGTCTGCCTTCGGCTCGGGTCATGGGTCTCGGGGTCCTGGGATCGAGCCCCACCATCTGGGCTCCTGGCTCAGCGGGGAGTCTGCTTCTCCCTCACCCTCTGCCTCTCCCTCTGTCTCTCTCTCTCAAATGAATAAATAAAATGTTTAAAAAAGTGAATGAACTAAACTACATGCAGTAACACAGATAATCTCAGAAATAAAACACTCAGGGCACCTGGCTAGTTTAGTCAGTTGAATGTCCGACTTGATTTTGGCTCAGGTCACAATCTCAGGGTTATGGGATCCAGCCCCATGTCAGCTCCGCACAAAGCACAGAGTCTGCTTGAGATTCTCTTTCTCCCTCTCCCTCTGCCCCTCCCCTCACTTGCAGGCGCACTCTCGTGCACACTCTCTAAATAAAATCTTTAAAAAAAATTTTTTTAAAGATTTTATTTATTTGAGGGCGCCTGGGTGGCTCAGTTGTTTAAGTGACTGCCTTCGGCTCAGGTCGTGATCCTGGAGTCCCAGGATCGAGCCCCACATTGGGCTCCCTGCTCAGCTGGGAGTCTGCTTCTCCCTCTGACTCTCCCCCCTCTCATGCTCTCTCCCTATCATTCTCTCTCTCTCAATAAATTTTTTAAAAAATCTTAAAAAAAGAAAGATTTTATTTATTTGAGAAAGCGTGAGAGAGAGAGAAAGCATGAGCGGAGGGAAGGGCAGAGGGACAGGGAGAAGCAGACTCCCCACTGAGCAGGAAGCCCGATGTGGGACTCAATGCCAGCATCCTGGGATCATGACCTGAGCTGAAGGACCTGAGCCACCCAGGTGCCCCTAAAATTTAATTAAAAATAAATAAATAAAACACTCAATGAAAATACAAGTTGGCCATACTTCAAAATTAAACTTAGCAACAGACTAAGTGATTCAAACACAAGTAATGATTTTTTTTAAAAATTCAAGGGTGAAATAAGCAAAATTTAGAATAGCGATTATTTCTGTGGGGAGGCAGGGAGACGGGATAGGAAAGAAGCACACAGGTATAGAAAATAGTACTGGTAATGTTCTAGACGACAGACTAGCAAACTACAGCCCTTGGGCCAAATACGGCCTGCTAACTGTAACTGTCAGTAAAGTTTTGTTGAAACACAATCATGTCTTCATTTATGCATTGTCTATGGCTGCTTTCTTGTTACAATAGCAACGATGAGTAATTGTATGGCCCCCAAAACTTAAAATATTTACTATCTGGTCCCTTACAGAAAAAATTTGCCAATTCTGGTTCTAGATATTAAGTTGGGTAATAGGTTCATGATGTTCATTATATGAGGTTTTATATCTTACACATATAAGTTCTATGTTTCCTTTTATATATGTAAAACTTTTGCATTCTTTTGTATACCTAATAGTACATTTTAAAATTTAATGGTAGCTCATTATTTTAATTTGCTTTCATTTCTGTTGTTGCTAGTTAGACCAAGCTTTCTCCCATACTGGTTCATCAGCTGATTTCCTTTTCCCCTACCAGGGGCCTGTATCTTGGAATACAGTCATTCTTCACAAAGTAAACAAATATGCTATCCTCTATCCTTATGTATACTACAATCACTGAAATATTTTCTCCAGTTTGCCTTTTTTTTAATATGCATAAAATTATTAGGTATTCAAACCTATACCATTTTTCCTTGGCAATTTCTTTTATTCCTCCTAATTTTAAAAAGTCCTTCCCCAATACCAGAGGTCGAATAAAATTAAATTTTCCGCATGCTTTAATTTTTATAATTTAACTCTGTAATCTACCTAGAAGTTATTTATGCCTCATAAATTAAAACCTACATGACATTTCTCTCTAAATAGTAACATGTACCTCTCATCTCTACCGATTCCCAACCCATCTTTTTTTTTTTTTTTAAAGATTTTATTTATTTATTTGAGAGAGAGAAAGAGCACAAGAGGGGGGAGCGGGAGAGGGAGAAGCAGACTCCCTGCTGAGCAGGTAGCCCGATGCGGGACTCGATCCCGGGACTCCAGGATCATGACCTGAGCCTAAGGCAGTCGCTTAACCAACTGAGCCACCCAGGCGCCCAATTCCC